CCATTTCAAGGCCACATCCTCAGTGCCTATGGTGGTGCCCGGAGAGATCCATCTGCCCAGGCCAGAAGAAGGCAGCAAGCCCACCAGCCGGGAGTAGAAGCAGTGGAGGGGAAAGAGGCAGAAGCCTAAGCCACTTGACTGCCCTAAGACTCAGTTTCAACACCTGCCAAACGGGGACAATAGTGTTACTGACCAGTAGGGTTGTGGAGGGATCTGAGATACCACGTCCTATACTCATCAACTCCACCTTTTCCTCAGATTTCTTCCGAGGCTGGAGAGGAGTTGGGCTTTTCTAGGGATCCAGCCCTGAAGAAGAAAGTTGACGAAGTCCTCGCGGCTTGAGGCCACGCAGGGTGGGGCGCCAGCCCACAGAAGGGCATCAGAGAGGTGCCTGCTTCCTGGGCCCTCCTTTTCACTTGAGAGTTTTTCCCTAGAAAGTTGGAACCAGCAGAGGCCCTCCTTCCATTCCAGGCCTGCCAGGCTTCCTGGCAGCAGAGCTTGCGGTCGGCAGAGTCTGGAGGCCTGATCCTGCCAGGTGACCAGACACACCAGGAGCTCGGTGACTCTGGAAGGGAGTGGTCATATGCTGTGTACCAGGGTGGCCCTCCTCTGGCTTGCCTGGGTCAATCCCAGGTGGAACGGGCCAGGTCAGGTGAACGCCCGTTGTCTGGTCATAACTATCGACTGTGCCCTCTTTCACTCACAAGTGTCCTGCTCATCGGCCAAGGCTGAGCACACGTATCCTATGATCCAATAATTCCTCCCAGGCATGTACCCAAGAGAAACTGGCAATGTGCTCACCAAGACATATTCTAGAACATTCATGGAAGCACTATTCATACTAGCACCAGACCAGAAACTATCCAAATGTCCTTAACAGAATGGATATTATATATGTACACACATATAGTACATATTATATATATAAAACTTGTGGTACATTCTTATCAGACAACTGGACAGCCATGAGAAAGAATACCGCAGCCACATACAATAACATGGATGAATCTCACAGACATAATGCTGAGCAACAGAAGCCAACCAGGAGAACACATGACACATGCATCCAGTTACACAAGTGTATCAATTGGCAAAACAAAACGATGCTGCCGGAGCGGAGATGCTGGTTCTATGAGGGCTGGCAATGCCCTATTTCTTGACCTGGGTGCTGTCTTTTTTTTTTTGAGTTGGAGTCTCACTCTGTCGCCCAGACTGGAGTGCAGTGGCCGCTCCCGGCCACCGCAGCCTCGACCTGCTGGGCTCCGGCGATCCTTCCGCCTCAGCCTTCCAAGTAGCTGGAACTACAGGCATGCGCTACCACGCCCGGTTGATTTTTTGATTTATTGTAGAGATGAGGTCTCACTGCCCAGGCGGGTCTGGAACCTGCGGGCTCAAGCAATCCACTCACCTCAGCCTCCCAAAGGCGCGGGATTTCAGGCTGAGCCACCGAGTCCGGCTTAATTTTTGACCTATTGTAGAGATGAGGTCTCGCCAAGTTGCCCAGGTGAGTCTCGAACCCACAGGCTCAGGCAATCCTCTCACCTCAGCCTCCCAAAGCGCTGGGATTACAGGCTGAGCCACCGAGCCCGGCTGCCTGGGTGCTGTTGACACAAGGGTGTCCACTCTGTGGAAATGCATGGAGCTGAAGACTTCTAATTTGTGCATTTTCTATATGCATAGATTTCACCAGTGAAAGGTATGCTTTAAAGAGTATCCTGGTTTGGACCATAGGTTAGACCATTCCTGAGCTTTCCTCTCCTACCCCTCTTATCCACTTTGTGTTGGGCAGGACACACAGAACATCCTCACACCTTAGCACCACACCCTTCAGAAAACCTCTACTAACCCCACCCCTAAATGGAGCCATCCTTACTGGTCTTTTTGCCTCCTTTTCTAGAAATGAGCTTAAGAAGCCAGCTGCCCCAAAGAATGAAGTTGACCCGAACTCCCCATTCCCTGAATATTCCTGCTGGGTTCACTGAAGTTCATTACATCGTCCTTGAGGAAACTGTGCACCAGACTCTGATCATCAGAAAATGCTTCCTGTGGGGAAGACCGGTTCTAATAACAACCAACACCTCTGGGACTCTCAGGCCTGGCCTTGATGGCACCGAGGAGCCCTAAGAATAGCTCCCTCTCCTTGCCTGCCCTGCCCCTGCCCCCCAGCCACCCACCTACCCAAATATCTCCGGGGTCTATCTCCTCCAGGACTTCTCTAACCACCTGTGCTCCCGTCTGCGCCTCCGGTAGCGGTAGTGCCTACGCTTTCTTTAAGCACCCGACGGTCCCTGGTCTAAGTTTCAAGAGGGTGGGGAAATTTGCTTTGTTCTCTATTGTGTCCCGAGTTTGGGCCAGTTCCTGGAACACAGTAGGTTCTTAGTGAATGAAATGTTCCCTGTCTCATGGCATCTCTAGGATTGTCATTCAGACTTGTCTAGGCATTTCTGGTCCTGAAGCCTCTAGACATGGAATTCACTGGGACGGGACTACTTAGACCTTACGCATCTTCTTGTCCCCACTACTCAGTCTTTCGCCTAACACTTATTGAAAGAGGACAGAAAGGAAGGGAAGGGAATTCGGGCATTTGCAATCCAGAGAGCATGGAGGCGGGGGTCAGTGGGTAGAGTTATTTGGAGTTCAAGGGTGTGGGTAATCCTGGAGGGGAACAAGCTACTATATTTATTTGCCTACGAATTTATTTATACCTGCCTCCTTCCAGAGAGGGTTTGAGGTGGCTTACAAAAATACACACAATACAAGGTAAAAAACAAGCTTGTGAAAAAGCAGGACGGGGGAAAAGAAGAGGAGGAAAAGTAAGAGCGAGCAGCCTGGCTAGAAGTGGGCCACAAAGTTGGCCAAGTTTTCCCACAGCCCACTCGAGGCGGAAGCCCCACTCTCCGCCCCACCTCCCTCTCGGGGCGCCCACGCG